CACACACACACACATACACACGAGCCATTCTGCTCTATTAAAATTTAGTTCAAATAATCAAAGAGAGCACGTCTTGGAAACACATCTAAGCTTCTGGAATTTGACTTGGATGTACCATTTTTTTTAAGGTCTGTTTTTTTTTTAAGAATTCTAAACTAGTTCTGAATCAGTACAATAAGCTAGAATAAAACTATAATACAGCTGTCTTACGCTAACTTGTGCCAGTGTACACCAGTTCAGAACTTGGGATGGAAAAAGAACAGACCTTAGTTTCTGAATTTCTCATCTCTTAATTTTTTCTTTAAAATTCTGACTACTACTTGGTACTTTCTCTAAAAAAAATTTTTTTATGATAAAACAAATTCAGTTGTTTAAATAACATAACAAAAATTATCGTAATCAGTATTAATAAAACAAAGAAACATGAAAAAATGGCATTAGGAGACTATCAGAAGTTAGTATAGCAGAATAAGTCATATACTTCAATAAATTAGTGTTTATAAAGTTTTTTTTAAGTTTCTCTCTCTCTCTCTATAAAGTAAAAAAAAATCGATAGAACATTTGAGATATCAAATACAAATACAAATTTTAAATGATCAATTAAAAAAATTATTTTCTATAACAATGTATAATATTTTGATATTTATAACTAAACATTTTGTTTATTTAGAGCTCAGAATAAATTTCCCACCTTTCGACAGAACTCTGGAATACAATTATAATTTAAGAAAAAATATTACGGTATTCAGGGATCCTCTCCAAACTACACTATATACTGGATCAGTAACATGTCAGACCGAGGCAACGACGAATAATTCCCTTCTCTGTCTTTTGCATTATATTGATGTTTACTCAAGCTTAACATTTGAAACTCTCAACACTACAAACGAGGTCACATATGAGAAATACTACCCCGATGATTGGTTTATAATTAAGTTTAATAAGCATGGCATAGAGGAATTACTTGTGAATTCAACCACTGACAAAAAAGATTTGATTAAAGAGATCGCTTTTCAATTTCATATTGGTGGTGAAATAATCCCCAAGTACGTTATGAAAGAAAAATTAGTAGTAGGCCATTGCATGACGTTATTCAATGTAAATTCGTCAATTGACGAATATAAGGGCGCTGAGAAGGAATTGGAAAAACAAATTATATTACCTATCTATGCATCCTATTACGAAGGAAACAGTCGATATCGGGGCCACGAAAGACATGTACATATATATATTGAGAAGATCAGAGACGACTGCCAGTATTCCTTGCCATTTTTTGATTTTTTGAATGGAATGGAAGTGGTGTGTATACATATACTTCTTTACATATGCTCTATATTTTTATAACTCTCGATTCTTAGAATAAATAGGAACAAAAATAATTATTTACGTCAGTTTCAATGATTTTCTGTAATTAATTCTTTAATGTTTCAATAATTTTTTTTACTATTGAGAGAAGAAAAAGAACGCATTAATAAAATTATATAATAAATATTTACTATGTCCTCAATAATTCAATGACTTTTTTATTGGAAATATGGGATTTAGCATAATACCATATTTACTTAACAATTTCAACTTTTCCATTTAAAATTAATTTTTTCATTGATAAATCTTACAGGCAAAATATATTCATGCAATAGAAATACTCGATGATAAATTAAATATTTCCACCACAATGGACGTACGATTACCAGCTGATCCATGGAATCCTAAAGGAACACTTGTATTTAGGGAAACAACGCAGCTTGACCTAATTAGCATTACATCTAGAACTAAAGTTTTTCATTCTTATATGAGGGATAATTACCGGTGGATTGATTTAATGGAGTGATTTACTCTAATCAAATATATCAAACTTTGAAAACACACACACACACACACACACACACACACACACACACACACACACACACACACACACACACACACAACACATTATGTTATATTGAAATGTAAATTTTTTGCTCAATTATTCATATTCAATTTTGTTGTATTTGTTAATTTTTCTAATCCTAAATGATTTACTAATATAATTTAGAATACTTGAAACGTTATAAAAGTATTATTAAATAGAATTTGAAAAAATTATAATTTTCTTTCTTTTTCCTTTAAAATTTATATTTGTCATGTTATTAAATATAAAAGAAAACATTGAATTCTCTTAAAGAGAGAGAGAGTATATTATATCATACATTTAGGGTGATATATTCGCGTTTAAAATAATGTAATTAATTGACCAAGCATTTATTGTAGCATCTATAATTCAGGTAATTTTATCAACAATAGTTTATCACAACAAATTTATTTTATAAATTTACGATTGATTATTTTATTGCAAATAATATACTTCATGAAATTTATTTTATTTTGACATTAATTTTATATTTAGTAATTGTATACCAGAATCTGAATTATCAAGATACATCTAATATTTTGTTGATTTAATTAAGGGTCGATAAACAAGTGTTTTACTTGTACTTAATAACAAAAGAATTAAAAAAAGTTAATAATTTTATGCGATAATAAAAAAAAACAAAAAATTAGAAACTTGAATAAAATCTAGATTATGTAAAACATAAATGTATATATGATATACACATACATGTATGTATAATATATATATGAATATATGTGTGTATATATATATATATAAATACACATATATGTATATATATATATATGAATATATGTGTATATATATATGTACACACACATATATATATATATATATCCATTTCTTTTAAATTAAATATATTACGTAATTAAGTATATATGATATTCACATGCATGTATGTATAATATATATATGAATATATGTGTGTATATATATATATAAATACACATATATGTATATATATATATGAATATATGTGTATATATATATGTACACACACATATATATATATATATCCATTTCTTTTAAATTAAATATATTACGTAATTGGAAATTACTTAAAAAGATATATTTTTGTTTTAATTATTTTAATTCTGAATTTAAAATAAATAAATTTTATTTTTTGTAAAAAAAAAATATAACGTGTTGTGATATTAAGATATAATTATTTTCTATTGTTGAAATGTTTCTTTTTATTCAAAATAAGATAGATTCATAATAGAAAATTATTTAATAGAAAGTTCATGTACAAGGCTGTATATTTAAAGAGACAAACATAGCTTGCAGAATATTCTTGACAGCGAGAACTAAGATTTATCGTCTAACTTTATTTACATTATAAAGACAAGAGTCAACGGACGAATCATATTATATTATTCATAACAAGCGGATTAAAACGATATTCTTTGATGATTAGCAAGTTCTAATATAAAGGAATTTATAAGTAAAAGAAGAGTAATATTGGAAGAGAACATTCCTTTATAATGATAAACATTTCTATGGTCCCGTTTTTATTCGGTAAGCTAAGAAGTATAACTGTTTGAATACAATTCCACGTGCTCAATATTATATTCGTTAGTTCGTGTCAGTTTGTCGTAAAACCTCTCAAATACAACCATTTATGTTCCTACTTTTGCAACAATAATATTTTTAAAATGCATTAGAAATATGCATATATAACAAATGTGTAATTAAGTAAAAGAAATTGCGACATCCAAATACCATATTTAATTTTAACTTTTCTTGAAGTTTTTATTATCTATTTGCGTCACAAATATAACTTTTTTAAACGTATATTTGAACCAAGACGCTGTCTACATATAGTGTCTTAATACGTTAAAAAACAAATTACAACTAATTAAATAGATGAGATACAATTATTCTACAAAATTAATTAAGAATATAATTAAAGAGCATAATTTTTATACTTACAATATATAGAAATAGGTATATTTTGGTATCATAAATCAAATATAAGTAAAATTCTTATATGAGCTTCAGCGAATGTTTATAACGCGTGTAAATTGTACGTATAATAAAGCGATAAGATATAATTCGCAAACAATTGGAATGTAGTTCCAGAGTCATAAATATTTCGTTGATAAATACATTTCAATTGTTTATGAATTATATCTTATTACCGTATAAATTATATAATATTTACACACTACGGAGACTTGTATAAGCATTTTACATATATTTGATTTATTCTTGGAGCTATAAAACTATTTTTATTTTAATCTGATATTTGATTAAATTTTTTGTTTATTTATTTAGTGGTCAACACAATTGTCCCAAAAGGGATTTTTCGGAAGTCGAGCTAGATTACATCTACAATCTGAACAAAATTACTGTAGTATTCAGGGATCCTCTCCAAACTACACAATATATTGCTACAGTAACATCAGCTCGATTTATTGAGTGCAAAAGACAGCGGAGACTGTCTTTTGCATAATATCATTATTTTCTCGACTTTGACATCAAAATCTCAACACTACACGCGAGGTCACAAAAAAGCAGCAGCTCAATTCCGAAGATTGGTTTCGTATTCAGTTTAAGGAGGGTGGTATAAAGAAAATATTTGTCAATGAAACCACTGACAGAAAATATATTATTATTGAAATTGCTAATCAATTTGATTTGGGTAATGATCTAAACTTTTATTTCCTGCCATTTCATAACCGTAAATCACAATATATAGATTTCATTAAAAAAGAAAAATAAATAGTAGGCATTTGTACAATCACGTATAATATAAGTACTATATACATAAAGAAAAAGATGTAAACGAAAAAAATTCCAAGTATCAAATTTTACTCTCTAAGTACAATAAAAAAGATCTACATATATACATATTGAGAAAGATAGAAAGAATTGCATTCCTTCATCGGCATTTATCGATTTTTTAAACAGAATGAAAGTGGTATGTAAATGTACATATCTACTTTTGTATATACATATACATATATATATATATATAATAAACGATTTCAACATCTCTAAAGAAACTAATTTTTTTCAATGATAAATCTTACAGGGAAATGTCCATACAATGGAAATGATCGATGATGAATTTAATATTTCCACTCTATCGTTTGTTGGTCTATCATTTGCCCAAAAAAAATTTGCGAAAATTTTCGGCTTTTCATCCAAGTGAAAGCTTAAAGTTTTCCTTACAAAATCGTTTTTAAAAATGTTCCTAAAATTTTTTTTGTTACTGAGTTATCGCGAATTAAATAAAAGGAGTATTTTGACTTTGATTGTTCATGACTTCGTTAAAAATCATTGGACCGCAATTTAAAAAACCAATTTTTAAAGCTAAAGCTAAAGCTTTGCTCTATTGTAATAGATTTTGTGTATTTTAGATGTATACATTTTACTTTTCACATAAATCTTGCACATACCCGAGAAAAGATATTGTATAATGGACATATATGTATATATAATTATATATAATTATATATAATTATATACAAAATATTTTTTCCCAGTACATGTACTAATTATACATATATTAACATAATAATTAATCTTTTATTATTAAAATCTTTCATTTTACATAAAATAAGATGTAACAAATAGAAAATTTGAACATATAATTTTATTGGGTGCTTTTTATTTTACTATATATAAATCGACACAGGTATCGTTCTGTCTTTGTTACTCGTGGGATGCAAAGAAACAGATCGTTTGTCGACTTGTGTCACTAAATGAAAAACATTGTCTGATGTATGTTGACCACAAAGGCATAACTTACAAGAAATATTGTTTACTTGTGATATAAAGACAAAAATAAACGCTTCAATCATATTACATTATACCTCCGTACAGGAACGAGAAAAACAGTTTTACCTAAAGTTCAAATAATAAACACATGTTCTGATATAAAGGAATTTAAAAAGTGGAAGAACAAGTGGATGAAATTGGCTGAGAGAATATTGCTTCACGATGCTGCTGAACGCTCCTTTGATCCCATTCTTCCTTGGTAAGTTAACAATATCTGTACAATGAATGTCTGAATCCAATTCTACATAGAGAACCGAAAATTTTTGCAAATTTTTTTTGGATTATGACCAGCCATATTTTCACAAAGCGAAAAGAAAATTTCATTTTGTCCAACTCGTAGTTTTCTATATGTAAAGAAAATACTAAATTTATGATCAGGAACTTAGAAACTGCAATGATCTTTTTAAGATTTAAAACCCTTTTTTCCATTAAAAATTTTATTTTAACTAATCTAAAACTAGGATATAATTATAAATTTTGAAAGTTAAATTACAAAATTAATTTTTGTGATAACAAATAACAATATTTTATAAATATTGTATTTAACTAAACTTTTTATTTATTTATTTATTTAGGAATTTTCGCAAATGTTTCAAAAGAATCAGATTTTGATCCGGAATACTTATTCGAAGTGAACAAAACTGTGATAGAATATCGTGACATGGGGAAATTTGTCCAAACTACACAATTAAATTCTACAGTAACATGTCATCCTTTTCTGATGAAAAGTCTTCAGTGTGATTTACATGATGTCATGATCTCAGAGTATTCAAATTTTACCCAAACAGTTTATACGTGGAAGAGATTGGAAGTCGAACAGTCATTCGAAATGGATTTCAACAATTGTGGTTTACGAGGTATACTCGAAAAAAATCACATGAGAATGACCCACAGTCTTATTTCTGATATTGGTTGTCAATTCAACCTATTTTTTGATATAAGAAATCATGCACTAAATTCAAGTTTTGTCAAAGATAAAACGACATCATCTGGTTATATTTGCGATATCACATATGATATAGATGAGACACATATGAGGAAGAATGCATTTAAAGAAACGAATTCCAATTTCCAAATTAAACTATTAACAGAAGATTTCTCTAACCAAAAAGATTCACATATATATATTGTAGATAATAAAACAGACTGCATGTCATTGGGATTTCACGACTTTATAATGGAATCGGAAATAGTGCGTAT